TTCATAAAATTATGTAATATCCCCAAATTGCAGAAACTATTTTCAGCAATTGTCTCACTCATAAGAGCAATACATGAGAATAAAACATTAGCCAGGAGCTGGTGGCTCACATCTGCTCAGCTATTCAGGAAGAAGAGATTAGGAAGATAGCACTTTGAAGCCAGCCTGGGCAAATAGTTTGAAAGACCCTTCTCAAAAATACCCAGTGAAAAAGAGAGCTGGCGGAGCAGCTCAAGTGGTAAAGCAACTATAGTAAGCATGAGACCCTGAGTTCAAACCCCAGTACCAAAAACAAACAAACAAAAATCTATCTGGACTTTTAAATCAGTTTCAAGGAAGGCAAGCTTTCTAGTCCATAGTATTTACCTGTAGTAATGTTCACTACAAGAACAGAGAACCAAACAGCTAATTTATACACTAGAAAGGTACTTTCTTCTGATTTGCTTTTTAACCACACTGTATTTCTATCAATCCTTACCTTTATTTACTGCTGTATAGTTCTGAGTAGTGAATTTAGACGATGGTCATTGGGTGAATATCCTAAGATTTTTTTTTTAATGAATGAAAAGACAGTATAACTGATTCATGCAAGGATGAAGGAAAATTCTATCTACTCCTTTTTAATAGTACAAGTAGCACCTTGCTGTCACTTACTATCAGGAACCTACCAAATTCTTTTTAAAAAAATTACACTAGATTGTACCAACTATTTCTGCTTAAATCCAATAGTTCCATTCTAATGAAATCATAAACCTAAGGTTTTGGTATATTTTTACACTTCTCAGCAATCAAACCTAAAGTACATATGACTGTGAGTATTTACAATTAGAAAAGTAGATGGAACACTAAGAAAAGGATAAAATATATACACCTCTACTCCAAAGATCATGTAACAATACTTTTCATGAGTCTACTAAATCAGTGGTCTTATACTGGAGATACTATGAAGGGGTAGTCGGCCAACCTAGACTGAACGTGATCTCATTAAGATCTTTTGTTTAAAACAAAAAACAGAAATTTTACTTCCACAATTTTTTTTTGTTTTTTTTTTGGTTTTTGAGTCAGGGTCTTTCTAGGTAGCCAAGGCTGATCTCAAAATCATGATCTACCTGCTACAGCCTCCTGACTGCTGAGATTACAGCTGTGTTCCACCACATTTAACTTCTATGATTAAAAAAAATTAATTTGGCATTCATGTTTATTTGCCATTAAAAAACAAAAAAACAGAGTCACCAGGTGCAGTCGCTGTGCCTATATTCCTAACTACTTGGAAGGCAGGGATAGAAAGGATCACAGTTGGAGGCCAGCCTGGGCAAACAGTTAGCAAGATCCCATCTCAACCAATAAAAATCTGAGTGTAGTGCTGCATATACCTGTCAACCCAGCTACTTGGGAAGCATAAATAGGAGGATCACAGTTAAGTCTGGACCGAGCATAAAAGAGATCCTATTCAAAAAATAACTAAAGCAAAAAGGACTAATGACATGGCTCAAGTGATACAGTACCAGCCTAACAAGCACAAAGCCCTGAATTCAAATTCCAGTACCATGAAATTAAAAAAAGAAATTATGTATGTTTATAGTTATGCATATACATATATATATATATTTGAGTAAACCTAATTCTTTTGCTTGTTTTGGCTTTCCTTTTTGGTGGGGGGAAGCCATACGGAGGACTGAACTCAGTCACACTCTTGCTTACACAGGCACTCTACCTGGTCATGCTGCCAGCCCTTTATCCTTTAGTTACTTTTGAGATAAGTTCTTTTCCCTTTCCCTTTCCCCTTTTCTTCTTGTCTTTTTCTTTTTTTTACTATTGTTGTACTGGGGGTACAATGTGACATTTACAAAATTTATTACAATATATCATAGTTGAAATCACCCCCACCATCATTCTCCTTTATATCCCCTCCTCCCATTCCTGGAATAGTTTCACCAGGTCTCATTTTTCCATTTACATACATGAGTACAAAATGTTTCCAACAAATTCAGCTTCCTATACCCTTTCTTTATATCCTCTCCCCTCCCACTGCTACCAACGCCCCCAGATAGGACCAGTTTTGCCTTCCTGTTCTCTGTTTTAGTAAAAAAAAAAAATTTTTTTTAATTTATAAAAATGACCTTTTTAAGATACATATGAAGGGTGTTTCATTGTAACATTTCCATGTATATATGTATTATAATTCAAATTGGCTTATCCCCTCTATTTTTCTCCTTTCTACCTTAATCCCCTTCTTACGGTGCTTTCAACAGGTCTAAAAATTCTGTATTTATTCTTGTATAGGAAGTACATCAACCATATTCACCTTCTTAACTTTCTTCTTTTACTCTTCCTCTCTCATATGTGACCTCCCCTTAGTGTGACCTGTTTTTCATAATATTGCTTGCATTTGTATTGGGTCTATATTCCATATTTGAGAGAAAATATGTGGCCTTTGGATTTCTTAACTTCACTTAAGATGATATTCTCCAGTTCTATCCATTTACCTGCAAATGACAAAATTTCATTCTTTATGGCTGAATAAAATTCAATTGTACATACTTTTTTAAATTCATTTGTCAATAGTGGGGCATCCTGGCTGTTTCCATAGCTTAGCTACTGTAAATAATGCTGCAATAAACACGGGTATGCAGGTGCCTTTATTGTAACCTGACTTACATTCCTTCCTATGTATCCCTCGGAGTATTATTTCTGGATCATATGGTAGCTCCATACTGTTTTCCATAGTGGTTGTACTAATTTACATTCCCAACAACAGTGTGTGAGGGTTCCTCTCTCCCCACATTCCTGCCAACATTTTGTTGTTGTTTGTATTCTTAATGATTGTCATTCTAACAGGAGTGAGGTAGAATCTTAACATGGTTTTGATTTGCATTTCCTTTATGGCCAGGGATACTGAACATTCTTCATGTGTTTTATGACTGTTTGGATTTCTTCCTTTGAAAAAACTCTGTTCAGTTCATTTGCCCATTTCTTCACTGGGTCATTGATTTTTGGAGGAATTTAGGTTTTTGAGCTCCCTGTATATTGCTGTTATTAATCCCTGGTTAGATGATTAGCTGGCAAAGATTTTCTCCCATTCTGTGGGCTACCTCTTCAGTCTGGTTACCATTTCTTTTGTTGTGGAGAAGCTTTTTAATTTCATGTGGTCCCATGTGTCAATCCTTTCTCTTAGTTGTTGAATCATTTGAGCTCCATTTAAGAAGTCATTCCCTATACCTATTAATTCCAATGTATTCCCTGTTCTTTCCTGCACTAGCTCCAAAGTTTCAGGTCTTATATTAAGGTTCTTAAGCCACTTTAGGTAATACTTACACAGCGTGAAAGACATGGCTCTTGTTTCAGTTTTCTGCATGCAGATATCTAGTTTTCCAGGCAACATTTGCAAAAGAAGCTATCTTTTCTCCATCATATTTTTTGGCATCTTTGTCAAAAACCAGATGGGTGCAGCTGCATGGATTCATATCTGGATCTTCTATTCTGTTCCACTGGTCATCATGTCTGTTTTTGTGCCAGGACCATGCTGTTTTTATTGCTATGGCTCTGTAGTATAGTTTAAAGTTGGATGCTGTGATACCTCCAGTGTTGCTCTTTTTGCTCAGTATTGCCTTGGCTATTCAAGGTCTTCTGTGCTTCCAAATGCACTTTAGGGTTGATTTTTCAATTGAGATAGGATCTTCCTTTATGCCTAGACCAGCCAGGACCTTGGTCCTCCTATTTGTGCTTCCTCATGTACCTGGGATGACAAATGAGCACCACCATGCCAAGTTACTGGTTGAGATGCTTTAGCTACCACGTGCGGCCTGTTTTAGGTTTCTTTAAAACATTACTAGTGCTTATCTTGAAATGTTGAGAAGATAAGACTCTTTGCCATTGCACATTTCATTATTTTACAAAGTCCAAGATGAATACTAACTACATGCTAGATATTTTTCTTTCCCTTCATCAGTCTTTCTCTACCCTACTCAGGATACCTGGAAGCTGACCTATATGGGTTCTATCAAAAAGCTCCCAGCTCCATTGTCCTCAAGAGACTACTTAAGTTTAGATAGCAAAAAGTATTAAAGAACTCTAGAAGTATAGAGAGCACAAAAACAAAGAGGCTGAGTATATTCTCTTATCTTCCTTTTTGCTGAGAAATGATGAAATAAGAATAACTCATAAGCAATTTCAGCTCAAACAATGAACAAATGAGAAGCCCAAATTTCTACATAAATAGAACTAAACACAGAAACAAGATTCTTGGCATTATCTAGTCTTTTGAAAAACCCTGATAATACATCTTTTTTTAAAAGGGAGGATAAAAATGGGATGTTTTTTTGCTTATAGCTAAATATACTGTTATATATACTATTTATATTACTTTATTTAAACTGCAGCTTAAACAATATCATAAAACAAAGTTGTGCCTAGTGATACATTCTATGTATGAATTAAGTTAGATTACTGCATTTAATTTCTAAATCCTGGGGTCATTGATATTCAGCCATTACTTATAATTTTAATAAATGTCAAATTTAAGATAAATTAAATAGCATTTCCATTAATCACAAAATATCTTACCCAAAAGTAACTAAGAAGCATAACTTTCAATGAAAAGCAGTCATTCAAAGCCATTAATCTAAATACATATCTTGTCTTAAAAATCATACAACCTTCTTTAAATCAAGAAATAGATTTCACAGCAATATAATTACTCAAGGAAATAATAACTGCACTTCAAAGAGTTATTTCATAATACTATCTTTTGTGTAGTAAAAACCACAGATATAACACAACTAAATAAGGTTACTTATATCACAATTATGTAGAATTTTAAAAATGTAAGCATATATATATATATATATATTTTTTTTTAATCTTCTT